TCAAGTACTGGAATACCTTGAAAATCAGAAGTTTTCTCAAGTTGGTACTTGAAAAGTACTTGAATTAAAATGAGAGGAGAACAGATAATGATCAAATATGTTTATGAAAAATATTTGGAAAATTGTATTGGTCTTGCGAATTAATTCCCAGGCACACTACCGAGTTTTATTTCCTCACGTGTTTTGCGCTGTGGTTGCCAGGCGAGCTCACTCATTCCACCCACACTGCCACTCAGCCAGACGGGTACAGAACTGACTGATTATGCGCCGCCAAACGTCACATCAATAGCTAAAATGCCGGACAAATGTAGATTCAATCCTGCCTTTTGTTCGGATGGAACATTTCTGGTATCTTTTATTTCAGCTCATGAAACATGGGACCAACACTTTACATGTTACGTTCATATTTTTGTTCAGTAAAGTTTACCCACCTTTTTTTACCACTACATCACTGGACCCAAAAAATGCGTCAGACTTTGACATTGCGAGCATGGGTGAATTGAGTGAATTGGCCCTTAAGAGACCCATGAAGGGGGAAAGACAAAACACTGCATTCTGCGCTGGCGCCACTTCTACTTGTGACTTTTTGTCTGCAACAACCTTCAGAGATTTTTTGCCAATCGCCTCATTCAAGGGGTGCCTGCGATATTCCACTTTATCGAGCAGCAGCCGTGCTCCTGTGATTCAGGTGGCCGTTCACGTGCCGTTTTCCTTACACAGCCCAGATTTTGTGTCACCTGCCTACGCACAATACCCCATAATGTCAAAGTGGAATCATGTTATTTTTTAATTTAAATTTTTTTAAACAAATTAATTACAAATGAAAAGCTGAAATGTCTTGTGTCAATAAGTATTATGGCAAGCCTAAATACATTCAGGAGTAAACATTTGCTTAACAAATCATATAATAAGTTGCATGGACTCAAATCATATAAGTTGCATGTGCAATAATAGTGATTAACATGATTTTTGAATGACTACCCGATCTCTGTACCCCACACATAAAATTATCTGTAAGGTCCCTCAGTCGAGTAGTGATTTTCAAGCACAGATTCAACCATAAAGACCAGAGAAGTTTTCCAATGCCTTGCAAAGAAGGGCACCGATTGGTAAAAAAAAAAAAAAAAAGCAGACACTGAATATCCCTTTGCGCATGGTAAAGCTGTTAATTAGGTTTTGGATGGTGTATCAATACACCCAGCCACTACAAAGATACAGGCGTCCTTCCTAACTCAATTGCCAGAGAGGAAGGAAACCGCTCAGGGATTTCACCATGAGGCCAATGGTGACTTTAAAACAGTTACAGAGTTTAATGGCTGTGATAGGAGAACTGAGGATGGATAAACAACCTTGTAGTTACTCCATAATACTAACCTAAATGACAGTGAAAAGGAAGCCTGTACAGATAATTATTTTTTTATATTCCAAAACATGCATCCTGTTTGCAATAAGGCACTAAAGTAAAACTGCAAAAAAATGTGGCAAAGAAATGAACTTTATGTCCTGAATACAAAGCGTTATGTTTTGGGCAAATACAACACAACACTTCACAGAGTACCGCTCTTCATATTTTCAAGCATGGTGGTGGCTGCATCATGTTATGGGTATGCTTGTCATCGGCAAGGACTAGTGAGTTTTTTATGATACAACTTAATGGAATAGAAATGTTCCTGAGTGGCCTAGTTACAGTTTTGACTTAAATCGGCTTGAAAATCTATGGCAAGACTTGAAAATGGCTGTCTAGCAATGATCAACAACCAATTTGACAGAGGTTGAAGAATTTTAAAAATAATAATGTGCAAATATTCTACAATCCAGATTTGCAAAACTCTGAGATTTACCCAGAAAGACTCACAGCTGCCAAAGGTGATTCTAATATGTATTGACTCAGGAGGTTGAATACTTATGTATTTAGTTTTTTATTTTTCATATTTTTTATTTTAAGTATTTTGTGTAGATCGTTGGCAAAATATTGACAATTAAATAATTGTAATCCCACCTTGTAACACAACATAATGTGGAAAAAGTCAAGGGGTGTGAATACTTTCTGAAGGCACTGTACATCTCTATTCATACAGTATAGCAGGTTTCTCTCTGCCTGTCATCTCTATAAATCATACTCCTTGTCCCTCTCCTCCTCCCTCCCCAGGCCCAGGTTTCAGAGGTGGTCTTGTCTCTGGGTGCGTCTTGTCTTGTCGTCTTCGAGGGGGGGCCACAGCCCTGGCCCCTGGCCCCCACACGTTTCCATGGCGATGCCCGGGTCGAGGGGGAGGGGCTGGGCGTGGAGGCTCTCAGCCTATCAGAGCCCAGGAGAGCCCAGCAGCACGCCTACAGGGTCACCTGCCACACCCTGGGGGAACAGGTGAGGGGGGAGGGGCGACAAGGGTGTGTTTCAGTCTTATGTATTTTGTATTTTTATCTGAGAAATTGGTGTCAGCTTCTATATGACTGTTTTACTGTCAGTCAATAAACTCTTTAAAGTCCATGTATTGTCAAATTA